AATTTTAAAATTTATAATTATAACAAAATAAATTTGTTTAAATATTAAATTTAAATTGTCTAATATCAATAAAAACATATCTAATACTTTATATTTCATTATCTTTAAATAGCTAAATATCAAATATTTAAAAAATATAGGTTTATTATAATAAAAATTGCTTCAGTAATATAGAATTAATTAAAATATTAAATATAAAAATTTTTTTTACAAATTCATCTATTGAATATTCAACTTTGAAATAGAATAACTTGATAAAAAATTAATAATTTTTTTTTATCTTATTATTATTATGTAGTCAAGATTAAAATTTTTAGAAAAATATAGATTTATCATAATAAAAGTTGCTTTAATAATTCAGAATAGATAAAAAAGTTTAAAAAAAATTTTTTTTTTTATATATTATGATTATTTGTATGAAGTAAAGGTCTAACTTTATGAATATCTATTTAAATTCAAACTTCTATATCTTATTTAAAAGCCTTTAATATTTATTTTTTTTTTTTACAAATATATATACACAATAAAAGTTAATATAATAGACTGCTTGAGACCAATACTTTTGTTTATTATATCAACATTCTGTTATATCAAATTTTAAGTTTTATACCGGACTCTTAATTAAATTTGCAAAAAATCCATTATAAAGACAGTTTTTAATATCTTTTATTATCAATGGATATAAATCTAACAATAAATTCAATTTAAAATTATTTAAGACTTGAATAGAAAAAATTCATCAAGACTTGTTTGCTTCCTTTATTGAATGCTTTTCATAACAATTTTCTTGCTTAATTTTTTCAAATTCAAAGCAAAACTTACATCTACATCTAAGTTGTTCTGACTTATAAAATTTTGAAGCAATGTTATATATTTAAGCACTTCATAAACAAACATCTTCTCAACACTAACTTCTTTACTTTTCTCTTCTACACCAATACTTTTTACTATATCAGCTATTTCCTTAATAATTGTTCCTTTCTTATCTGCTATATCTTCATCGATATTAATAAATTCCATTGCTAATAGTAAGTTGATTATCAGAAGTTGATTAATAAGATCTTCTAATTCATTTTCTAGAGTTTCAGTTTCTAAACTTTCAGTCATGTCTGTCTGGAATAAGAAAATCATTGCAAGCAAAAT